TGAGTAAAATTTGAAATATGTTAACATTTAAAATGAGACATTTCAATTCTTCTTATTTGGTCTTCTGAAAATACTATTAAACTATGGAAATAAACTCAATTTTTAGAAAATGCAAGCAACAAACAAGTTGCTTCAAATGAGATAATATTTGATCAAACTTTATCAAAAATAAAATATAGTTACAGCAAGGGCCTCTTTGAAGAAGCAGATCTTAGTCATCCTGCAGCCTCAGTACTTTGTAATAATGATTTGCTGACTGTTGGGTCCAACTCTGGGCACGTGTATGATGCAGGATGGAAGAGATGCAGTCTCTGCACTTCAGGAACCCTGTAGTGTAACTGTAGAGACGACACCTGTACAGACAGAACCACATTACAAGGCAGCGTGTGAGATGTATAACATAGATCGCGTTTAGTGCTATAGAATTTTTGATAAAGGAGAGATCTCTGATTGGATGTCAATTAAGTCTTCTTGGAAAAGATGAACTTGAAGGCTGTTTTACACTAATTATTATTATTAGCATTTTTATGCTAATAACACAGTTTGAAGAAGAGTGACTAGAACTTAAAACTCCTGCTTACCCATACTTTTTTTATGTGGTTAACTGAGAGTATAACTTAATGCTTAGGAGTAAAATATCTGCCATGTTCTCGATAAATGTTGCCCATTGTCATCAGTTATACTGTCCTTGAAAACTCATCAGCTCAGTCCTTGCTTCTCCAGGAGGCCTTTCCTACCAAACCTAAGTGTATGAATTGTCCTCTCTTCTTTATTCCTAGAGAATCCTCAGCATGTCATTACCAAAGCACTGTAATCTATGGCACTGATTTCTAATTATTGCTTTATTTCTCTGTCTCTCCCACTAAAGCTCCTTGAAGTTATGGAACGTGTGTATCCCAAACCTAGCATTATTCCTAATGCTATTCCTAAATACATTATCATAGTGTCTAAGGCTTAATACATTTTTGTTGAATGAATAATTGAACTCAACGAAGATTATATTTAGTATAAGAAAATGGATATTTATATAAAGTTGATGGCAGTGATGACGAAGAGAAATGGATCCATTCAGGCTATGTTTTGAGATAGAATTGACAGGATTTATTGATGAATTGGATGGAGAATGAGGGAGATGGATGAGCCAAAACTTGAGAAGCTGGGTAATGCCATTAACTGAGATAAGTTAGGCTGGAGAAGAACAGGCTGTCTTACAGATGTTTGAGTAGCCTACTCCACTTTTGCATAAAGCTATCAAATGGGCACTTGCATGTGAGTCTGGAGCTCAAAGAAGAGAGCAAGACAGGAAATGTAATCAGGAAGTTAGTAGCGTATGGATGGCATTTAAAGCTAAGGGTGAAATTGGCTTGTGAGTGAATGTAAGCTGAGGAGAGAGGAGGGCTCAGAACCAAGCCTGTAGCACTCCAGCATCGGGTGGTCTGGAAGGATGGAGACAATAGCAAAAACAAACAAACAAACAAAAAAACCCAAAACTGAGGAGGTAGGAGAACACTAGAGAGAACTGTTTCAAGAAACCACTAGTTGGCGTCAAATGCTGCTGAAGGATTAGGATGAAAATAGAGAAGTGGTCACTGGATTTGGCAACATAATGATTGTTGGTGGCCTTGATTGCGTAGTGGGGGGTCCAGAAGCCAAATTGGAATGAGTTCAAGAGTGAATGCGAAGCAAGGGACTAGGAATCTGTAGGAGTTAAATCCTCGAGTAGGCTGAAGGGGATGGGAATCCCTTCTGCAGCTTTCGGTCTTCCTGTTTCAGCAATTCCCAAACTGAACTCATGCATTGCCCTCCAAAATCTTTTCCTTCTCATGATGCAGACTAGAACTTCCCCGGTTAGCATGCTTGTCTTCTTCCTCTCCTTACCCCATTTAGTCAGATGCCTTGGGCTGTTGAGTCTTCTTTATGATACTTTTCAAATTGGAATCCTTCATTTCATTGTCATTGCCACTTAACATTGCTCTTTCCAAGTATTAATTAGCTCTTCCCCACGTGCCCCCCATGGTTTCCTGACTACTCACTGCTTTTATTCTCTCCCTTGCCAATATATCCATCCATCACAGCTAGAACGTTCTTCCTAAAATACAGCTTTGCTCATGTTATTCTCCTGCTAAAAATAAAACAAAATATTTTAGCCTGGCACTGAGAACTCTACCTTTTTATCTGAATTACTTTCTCTTCATTCAGCCTGCTGTTCTGAAGTATTTGCTTCAGGACAAGTACTTGCTGAAGTATTGCCGTTCTAAAGTCTGTTTCCTAAATATAACCTGCGTCTTTGGCCTCTGTGACCTCACAGTCACTGCTGCCTGTGACTGACGTGCCTTTCCCTGCCTTCTCTTACATTTTCTGTATTTCCAAATGCTGAGTACCTCTAACAGATGGTGGAGTACACCCTAAAAATTGTGAAATTTCAAGGCTTTCAGTGCTGCTGCTTTACTTCATCAGTTCTTTAAAAGTTCCATAATACTGGTCGGGCACAATGACTTATGCCTCTAATCCCAGCACTTTGGGAGGCCGAGGCGGGCAGATCACCTGAGGTCAGGAGTTTGAGACCAATCTGGCCAACATGGTGAAACCCCATCTCTACTAAAACTACAAAAATTAGCCAGGCGTGGTGGTGGGTGGCTGTAATCCCAGCTACTCGGGAGGCTGAGGCAGGAGAATTGCTTGAACCCGGGAGGCAGAGGTTGCAGTGAGCTGAGACCACACCACTGCACTGCAGCATGGGTGACAGAGCGAGACTCTGTCTCAAAAAAAAAAAAAGAAAAAAAAAAAAGGGGTTCCATAATACTGATTTTTTTCTTTAAACCAATTATTTGTACCACCACTACTTCAAGCAGTCATCTTTTTTAGGAATTGGGTACAGGAATGATTTTCTTTCTGAAGGGAAGTTTCTTGGAAATTTCACTGGAAGTTGTGGAGTTGTGGGTCATGACACTGTGTGACAGAGGATACCCAGAAAATGCTGGGCTTGTCCTCTTCACAGCAGCAGCCAGACGGTTACAGGGTGTGCAGGACGTGTCCATAGGAAAAGCACCCTCCTCAATTGCACACTCACTCATTGATGTATTTAGTAGTAGATGCTGGATTCCTTGTTTTTATGGTTGTTAATATTTGGGGGTAGGAGAAGAACAGTGTGTGTGAAATCATTATTCTGAGTTTCAGCTTTTTTTTTTTTTTTTAATTCTTTTTTATTTTGAGACGGAGTCTCTCTCTGGAGTTTCAGCTTTTTAAAACAAGAGAGCCCTTTAGAAATTCTGCTCACAGTCACACATTCTAAAAGAAGAAAATTAGAAGCTCTCTAAAGATTGTAATCATAGAAAAAAAAGAATTGCTCATTAGAATATTGAACTGAGTGTTCTGTCAACTTTCCGCACATCAGGGAATTGCTAATGTGAGGACGTCACTAAGAAGTAGATTGAAGATATCTTTTTGAGATCCTCTTATGATACATGTTGCCTTCCCGTTGTATTCTGGTTTTTATTATTGGGGTATAAAGCAGATTTTAGGCATATGTAGCTTGTACCTAGTTAAGCTTTTAAGAATGAAGTTGATTATTTTATTGACTGAAGGGAAACAACCCAGGGTTTGTTTTTTTTTTTTTTTGAGACAGCGTCTCGCTCTGTTACCCAGGCTGGAGTGCAGTGGCACCTTCTTGGCCCATTGCAAACTGTGCTTCCTGGGTTCAAGCGATTCTCCTGCCTCAGCCTCCCTAGTAGCTGGGATTACAGGTGCCTGCCATCACGCCTGGCTAATTTTTTTGTATTTTTAGTAGTGATGGGGTTTCACTGTGTTGGCCAGGCTGATCTCGAACTCCTGACCTCAGGTGATCTGCCCATCTCAGCCTCCCAAAGTGCTGGGATTACAGGCGTGAGCCACCGTGCCCGGCCACACAGGTTTTTGAAAAAATGGGATTGAAAATTCTTGCATAGTTTTTGAACCATGGTGCTGGATAATTATTATAAGTAGATATTGTTAGGGAAAAAAGGAGTGGGATGACCATCTGATTTAAGAACCTTCACTTTGGCTGTTGCAAGAACATTATCTACTTGGCCTTTCAGTAGGCAGCTTGCCAGTCCTTTCTAGCAGCTGTTGAATGTAGTCAGCTATTTTGGAACATGAGGGGTATTGTAATTAGGTGTGTAGAAAATTGATTTAAGAATTCAAAACATCTCTAGATTTTTAGTAAAACTCTAGAGTGCAAGTAAAAAATAAATGTCTCATATTTTAAGTGGGATAACAGCCTTTATTTCCTCAGAATTACTCATTAGTACTGATAATGAGGAAAAAAATACGTAACTACAAAATTGTGAGGGAAAGCCTCAAAACAACTTGCTTTGCTTTCTTTGTCACAAAATGTTTATTTTAATATATATTTTCCCCACTGTACATTTCCCAGGAACCTTTGTGTTTTGGCATCCTTACTTAACATTAACAGAATAATAAACCAGAAGATTCCTGGAGGCTTGGCCCTTTGTGGCAGAATGAGCTGTGCACCTCCATCCTTTGATATGCGCTTTCCCCCTTTTTTCCTTTGCTGTTGAAAGGGAAAACAACTGCTTCTATTTTGGATAATTTTTAACTAATGATCTCAAAAATCCAGTATGGAATATTTATCTATCAAGGAAAAATTGTGTTAAGTGCATTTTATAAACTGATTCTTATATATATGAGATGGTTCATAGCTGGGATTAAAATGCTGTGTTGTTATAATAGTTTTATTGTTTAGATGAAATTGTTCAGATTATTATTTGGATTCTGGTGGAACTTTTTTGAGCCATTAATAGAAAAGAGCAGAAATAACTGAAAATAGTTGGTTTAGGCTCATTGTACTGGTCATTTCAGTAAAGTATAATTGATATGTGAAGATCCAGAAATACGACTGTGGGCATTTAAAGTACATACATTTTTATTATGATGGAAGAACAGTTTTCATTGGGAAGAGATTTTAAATTTGCATTGTCTTGTCTTTTTTTTTCCCCCTACAGGAAGGAACTTGAAACCTTCAAAGGTAATTTTGTGTTAATTCTTCACTTTAAAATAGTTGAGAGTTAATTGGTGTCAGATGTTCTCTCTTGATAATGATCAGCGAACTCATTTTTTTAAAATCAGTTTACACAAAAAGTAAAACTTGATACTGTTTTTGTAGGTTTTGTTTAATCACAAGCGGTTTTGATATTCTCTTTAGCACATATACCAAGTGAGAGTTTCTGCTAATGACCTTTATAAATGGTATGTTAGGAAGGTGCAGTGCTAACTTTGAGATTGTTGAGAATCATAGTTTAAGAAGATTCTGGTTTCTCTTGTGCAGTCTGGGCCACGTGGAAAGGGAATGGTGACAAAGATCAAGAGGTGCCCCTGCAATTGACGTTGCAGTCACTCAAACCTCCTGAGAGGTCTTCAGTGCTGGGTCCTGCTCTGCTGCTGTCTTGTGACTTTGGATGAGTCTCTTACCTTTTCAGGCACAGTTTCTCTTTCCATCTGTAAAATTAGAGGCTCAGATGAAATATATTCCGAGATTCCAAAAGCACCCAGCATTACTTTTTACGTTTAGGGAATGCCTGAAGGAGGGACACTAGAGAATGATTCTTGGTTATATTGACCGTTACTGGTCATGGAGAAAGGCTAGTGGAAAACAGAAAAAAATACAAACTTTCCAGCAGCTCAAGGTTCTTCCAGTTTGCCATTTTTCAATTAATTACTCATGAGCAATTAAGTACTAGAAATCCTATTCTCGAGAGACTCATTTCAATAACTGAGAAAACTTTTTGAAATCACTTCTGATTTAGTTGTTTTATGCTTATTATACTTCACATATAAACCAGCATTGTCCTTTAGATTTGCTGAATGGTGAAAGATTTCCAAGTATATCGTTTGTGGTTGAATTGTTGATATGTCTGATCTGTTTGAATTTAGAAAAAATGACAAATTCTCAAGATAAAAGGTATAAAGGCATATTCCTCCTATAGTTATTATTGAACAGCCTTGTTTGGCTGGATTTCTGTTTGACCTACTACAGCTGTAGTAAATGATTAAGCTCCTGGCCAGTTTGTTGAAGGTAATGTTAAATGACCATGTGATATAATGTGTTGTCATGGCTGTCATTGTTCTTAATTCAATTTGTAAACCACTACTTGTATACTTTTTTTTTTAAATCAGTGCTTTAAAATAAGATTTGAAATCCTTATAAAATGCCTTTTCCTTCTCATTCTTTTCTTTTGGTTGACTAGTTTAGTATCTTCTTATGTAATGGTAAGAGATGAAAAAAACAATCAAGTTAATATTAATAGACAGGGCAGGGACACAGATTATGTAAAATGTCAGTTTTACTTGCATCTCAGTGCTGAGGCATACTTTTTTTAGTATGACAATATTCAGAGAAAAAGAAGAGAATAGCAGTTTGCAAAAGGTTAGGTAGTGTTGCATATTACCCGATAGAAAAATTCAGTTTAAGCTGAAATATCTTGTTTATACACAAATTCCTAATTATGTACAATTAACAGCACATCAAATCCACCCACAGGCCAATTAAAGATCTCAAATGTGAACAAACCCTAAATTGAATGTTGCATTATATCAAGATTTTTAGTATCAGTGTTCATTCAAAATTGTTTCTTCTTGAGTGTTTTGCTAATATTTTAAAAACGAGGCCTGGGCATGGTGGCTCACGCCTGTAATCCCAGCACTTTGGAAGGGCCTCCTTTGGGAGGCCGAGGGGGTGGATCACCTGAGGTCAGGAGTTCAAGACCAGCCTGGCCAACATGGTGAAACCCCATCTCTACTAAAAATTCAAAAACTAGCCAGGCGTGTTGGTACACTCAGCTACTCAGGAAGCTGAGGCAGGAGAATCACTTGAATTCGGGAGGCGGAGGTTGTAGTGAGCCAAGATCACACCACTGCACTCTAGCCTGAGCCACAGAATGAGACTCCTGTCTCAAAAAAAAAAAAAAAAAAAAAAAACCCTATAACAAGAAAAACAGAAATGTAATAGCTCTTCCAAAGTATTAGTGAAGAAAAAGACATTTAAAAATTTGTTTGAACATACTGTGGCAATTTATTATTTTTTGAATATTGCCTTTTTCCTTTTCAGGTTGCAGGAAAATAAAAGGTATTACTTCCTCCAATTGCTTTATTCAACTTATATTTAGAAGCTCTTTTCTAAATTGGGGGAAAACTAACTTTTGAGAACCAAAATACAAAATTAGTAACCTTCAAAATTAGTAATGTACATTAATATCATCCACCAAGTTCTGGATTCTCCCTTCTATACTCCATAGAGGTTGATGAGTTGTGTTCACCTTACTTCTGCTGCATATGGCCAATCTCTACAAGATTATTAAAGCCAGTTGTTCTTGTCTTAATATTGGCAGTCGGAAATTTTTCTGTGTTCCCCAAATACTGCATTCATTTAAACGTTTTAGTGACAGTCACTCAAATATTAAATAGCAGAAAAAGGAGGTTAGGATCATAAAAGTCCTTATTTTATATTTTTAGTGGGAAGGCATTCCATTATTGTAAGCACATGTAGAGTACGTAAGCTTTCATATTCTTTAAAGACATAAGACATTGAAGACTTAGCTCTGGAAAACAGAGGCAGTGGAAGAGGCAGAACCAGAGTGGTCAGAGAAACAGGAAGACCAAGGCAATGTAGTGACAAAACAAAAAAAAAAAAACAAACAAAAAACCAAAAAAACCCACAAAACTGCAGAGGAGAGAGTTTAAAGGAGGAAAAGTGGTAATCCGTTATACAAGTAATGCAGAGAAGTTGAGCTGAATGGGGAGAGCCTATTGGATTTGACAATGAACAGGTCATTGGTGACCTGAAAGAGCTGTTTATAAAGGGTAAATCCGAATTGAAAATCAGAAGTGTATGAATAGGCCAGGCATGGTGGCTCACACCTGTAATCCTAGAACTTTGGAAGGCTGAGGCAGGCAGATCACTTGAGGTCAAGCATTCGAGAACGGCCTGGCCAGCATGGTGAAACCCCATGTCTGCTAAAAATACAAAAAAATTAGCCCAGCGTGGTGGCGGGTGCCTATAGTCCCAGCTACTTGGGAGGCTGGGGCATGAGAATTGCTTGAACCTGGGAGGCAGAGGCTGCAGTGAGCCGAGATTGTGCCACTGCACTTCAGCCTTGGCAACAGAGTAAGACTCTGTCTCCAAAAAAAGAAATGTATGAGTAGTTAGGAAATAAAGGTGACATGAACTAATTGTTCAATCATGAATGGATAGAAAAAAATGAAAATGTAACGAGATAGGATCCGGGTCAAAGAGAGGGGAGGTATAGTTGAAGATATTGAAGGAGTCATTATGATATTAAAGAAAATGGAAGGAAATGGTATCCAGATAGGTTATCCTTGGAGGGTGTCCAGGGACATCTCTTTTCCTAAGACCTTAGAGAAGGAAACGATGGCTAATAATATAGGGAAAAGTTGACATGGAAGGATGAAAGAATTTTTTGAGAATTCACATAAGGAATGATAATATGAATTTTCAGGGCTAGGCTCAGAAGCAGAAATAAAAAAGCAAAACAAATATGCTTTGGCTAATACAGAGTTGGAAATGGGAAGACATGTAAGATGGACCAGCAGGCATGGTAACCGTGGATGCTAATGAGACTGTGATTGAAATGATTGGCTGTGGAGTTCACACTGGAGAGGAGAGGCCTGACCAGACCATGAGAATAAGCAGGCTGAATGGTACAGGTGAGGTACCCCATAAAGGGGAAGAACACTTTTAGTGGTTGAGGTGGATCTTGTGGTCAAAGAAGAGATTTCAGTTTGAAATCTTAGAAGGGGAGCAATTCCCAGTGATGATGATGGCTAAATTTGAGTAAGAATAGAAGGCACCAAGTCATCTGACTTGGAGAATTCTGAGTCTTTGAGGAGTCTCACTTGTTTGGATGACTCATGGATGTGGCTTATGCATGTTACTGGCTTGGCAGCCCTTAGCATGTTACAGATAGGGATGATGATGCTAGATGGTAAACTTCAGGAGAGTTTGTTGGTTCACTTAAAGAATTTGCTTAACATGTGAGACAAAACTATTCAGCTGCCATTTAGCAATATTTAAGTGACTCAGGTTGGATGATGTTACTGTCCTCTGTCCTCAGGGAGCTAAAGGACTGTGGCAAAGCTTATAGGTTAGAAAGGCAAACGTATAATTTGAATACAATATAGAAATAATAGAAATAACTACGCTAAGGTGGGAGTAATCAACCAGAGAGCGGTCATTACACTTGATCTGAATGATGACTCACTGGGCTGGAAAGGATAATAAAGACATTTCAGGAAGAAGAAAGAACAATTGTAAAGATGCAGATACGTTTATTTCAAGAATACAAGTTAAAATTTAATTTCTTATTTATTGAAGGAGCCACAAATAATTTGCCTGGCTGAAGCATATGGTGTGTGGGGTGAAGTGATGAGGGATGAAGTTGGACAGAGAGGCAAGGAACAACTGGTACCCAACCTTGAGTGCCGTGCACAGGAACTTGGACATTTCCCTTTAGGCCAGTGGTCTTCAAAGAGGAATGTGGGCTTGCAAAGCATGAGGAGAAGAGAGGAAACTGAAACTTTTGTTTTTTTATGTCATCCTTTTAAATGTCAATTTTCTGTATATTATGTAATAGAACAGGAATTCATGCCTATGTCAGGGGTGCATGATCAAAAAGAGCTCAGAGGTTATTGTTGTAGCTGATGGAGTCTGGGCAGGGAGTGGGTTATCCCCGAGGGTTTCAATCAGGGTAGAAGGATCAGATTTGCATTTTAAAGCAAGTTTTCTGGAATCATATAGGAGATAGGTTAGAGAAGAGCAGGTCTAGATTAAAAGAGATCAGTTGGGAAACTATTAGATTTGAATTAAGGCATTGCTAGAATGGAGAGAAAGACACAGATTCAAGAAACTGAGTAGAATAAAAAATCACTATATTGTTCCTTTTTATTGCTGAATTAATACTTCATTGTATGAATAGACCCCATTTTGTTTATCCACTCACCAGCTGATGGACATTTGGATTGTTTCCAGGTTTTGCCTGTTTTGAATAATGCTGCCATCAACTTTCTTATGCAAGTCTTTGTGTTGACATACATTTTTATTTATCTTGGGTGTATAGTTAAGACTAGAATATATGGATTATATGACAACTTTGTGTTTAACTTTTTGAGAAACTGCTGAACTGTTTTCCAGAATGGCTGTACCATTTTACGTTCCTGTCAGCAGTGTGTGAGGGCTGCGGTTTCTCCTCATCCCTGACAACACTAGTTAGCTCTTATGTTTAGGTCTATGATCCATTTTCAGTTAAGCCTTGTGTTCGTGTGAGTTGAAAGTCCACCTTCATTTTTTTACACATCGATGTTCAGTTGTCTCAGAACCATTTTTTGGCAGACCTTGGGGCTCAAGGCTGCACAGGCCCCAAGTCTCCCTCACAAGCCTCAGAACTATTTTTTGAAAAGAGCTTCCTTTCCCCATTGAATTGCTTTGGCACCTTTGTGGGAAACCAGTGACCATAATGTAAGAATTTTTTTCTGAACTCTCCACTCTGTTCCTTATTGCCAATGCCACACTGCCTTGACTACTGTAGCTTCGTAGTAAGATGTGAAATTGGGAAGTCTAAGTCCTCCAACCTAGTTCTTTTTAAAATTGGTTTGACTATTTAAGGTCCTTTGTCTTTCCATATAAATTTTAGGATCATTTTGACAATTCTAACAAAGAACAGAGCCTTCTGAGACTTTAATAGGGATGGTTGTGTTGCATGTATAGATCAATTTGGGGAAAGTTGTCATCTTAATGATAGTGAGTCTTTCAATCCATGAACATGGAATGTATCCCTATTTATTTAAGTCATCTTCAGTTTTTCTAAGCAGTTTTGTTGTTTTCAGTATGTAAATCTTAAATTTATTCCTTAATATTTCATTCTTATTGAGTGAATTTCATCAGGAGCATGTTAAATTTGCAGTATCTGTAAGACGTTATAGGTGGAAGTGTCCAGTGGGCAGTTGAATCTCAGGAGAAAGATCTGAGCTAGATTTGAAAGTAGCCAGCATGTAGGTGGGAATGGAAGCCCGGGATTTGAATGACGTTGCCCACAAACAACAGGGCAGAATGAAAAAAAGATGACAATGCATAGAAATCTAGGAAGCACCAACATTCACCAGACAGGCACGAGAAGAGAGCTAGTTGCCGATAGGGGAGGCCAAGAGGCAAAGAGGAAAATGTGATAAGGAGAACATTTCAAGGAGATGTCAAGAAGCAGTGTCGTATTGTTGTGGAGAAGGCAAACTGAAATATAGCCTGAGAAGCTAATGGGTGATCTTAATGAGGACACTTTCAGCAGCATGGTTTTGTGTATATGGGGGCTGGGGTGGAAACCAGATGGCAGAGGATTGGAATGAGTGGACTGTTCTGCCTTGTTCACCATTGTGACTCCGGTGCTTGGCACTTTGGTGCTTATTAAATATTTAAATGAATGAGGAAGTAGAGACAATGCTTTCAAAAGCTAAGGCTAAAGGAAGGAAAGAAGAGTAGTTAGAGGAGAGAGTTAGGTTGAAGGAAGGATTTCTTTTTTTTTAATTTTGGGAGGAAGTTGAGTATATTTCTGTGAAAAAGGAACAGAAGCTGTAGAGAGGGAGAGGTTGAAGATACAGTGAGAGTGGCTGATTGATGGAGCTGTGATTCAGAGGGGACCAGCAGGAGTGGGATTTAGACCATACTATTTTCAAAAAGGAAAAGATTGTGGAGAAGTGTTTGTAACTATTAGAATTGATGATTTAAGATACTTATTAAAAATATACAGCACATTCCAAGCCCCTGGTTAGTGTTGCTGAATTTGAAAAAACCTTTAGGCTAATGCTACATTTAAAATGAGGTGGGGGAAAATTATAGATGCCTTGTGTGTTATGAAATGAACTATATTTTTAGTTTTTATGTTACTACTTTCAAACAGCAAGATTTCATCTCTCTTTTGCTGTGTTACTAAAGCATCTTTGTACCTAGATGATAAATTCATATGGATTTAGTATATTTTCAGCCTTCCCTCCCCTCCATTTTGAGCTGCATTTGGTATGGTCCCAGACCGGTGCATACATCCTTGCACACTAGAGCCCCTG